GGGTTTTTATTCAATATTTCATCCGCGAGCTTGGGATGATTTCCTCCATTGTTGACCACCTTAAGAGCTTTTTGGTAGAGATTGAAGAGGATTTTGACGGGAATCAATTGGAGGTAAGTCTCGTGACCTAGAAACGTCATTTTTATTGAAGAATCAACCTTTAATTCTTGGAAATTTGTGTAAAAATTGGAAGAACTAGGGCTTGGTTTTTGAAATGAAAATTTGGGATTTGAAAGGGCATTTGAACTCCGATTTTGGTAAAATTGATATGTATGGACTCGTGGCGAGACGAGGAATCCGGTAATGTGAGTTTTGTAATTTTTCGAGAAGTGGGCCTAAGGCTCGGGTTTTGCTAGTTTCGAGATTTTTGCTATATTTCGATTGTTTTCGATTGGGCATCGTTCCCTTAGCATATTGTGATGTACTCGCTCTGATTTTGGTTAGATTCGACGCGCGTGGAGGCCGATTCGAGGGGCAAAGGCGTCGCGGGCTAGAGATTTCACCGGATCGAGGTGAGTAATGATTGTAAATGATATCCTGAGGGTTTGAAACCCCGGATTTGCACAACTTGGTGCTATGTTGAGATGAGACACGCGTTCCATGACGAGCGCGGGGTCATTTACTATTGGGGACTGTGATTTGGTCCAGACTGATTGAGGCCGAGGGCCATATGTGAGGATATGTCGAGTGATGTGAAGAGGCTTTCAGGCCTCGAGTGTATTGTGAGAAGGCTTTCAGGCCTCATGTTGATATGTACAGGCTTTCAGGCCTTATGTTGATATAGCGCTTGGACTGTAGGAGCCCCTCCGGAGTCTACACACCCACAGTGAGCGCGGGTACCCATTTAGAATTGGACAGTGGTAACAATGACACTGTCATTCGTGTTTTGGTCAGGTAACAATGGCTGACCAGTCAGGTAACAATGGCTGACCAGTGGTAACAATGGAACTGAAACACGCATTGGGTCAGGTAACAATGGCTGACGGGTCAGGTAACAATGACTGACTAGTAACGAAATTCGTGCCCGAGGGGCGAACTTTTATATGTTCATCTTGCATACTTATTTGTATTATTACCTGCTATGCTGTGATATTTGTGCCCGAGGGGCGGATTTTCTGTGTTAATCAGCACTAACTATTTTGAACAGTTTCGTAATTATTGAAAGAACCATTTTCGAAAGAGATTTGAACCGAGCCGAAACATTTCTAAAGAGTTCTCTAATTTCACTGTTTTCTCGGAAATTGTACCCGGCTTCTGTACAGCCCGTTGGTTGCTTAACGTGATTTCTTGCTGCTCAGTTATTATTTACTTCTATTACTCACTGAGTTGGAAGTACTCACTTTACTCCCTGCACCTCGCGTGCAGTTGCAGGTATCGTTCACCCGGTAGCGGGTTATTAGCGGATTGAAGGTATTATTATTGTAGCTGAGCAAGGTGACCGCCAGCGTTCGCGGCACTGGATGTTGTCTTTTGTTTTCCAGAAACTTTACTTGTATATATTTATTGTCCTGTAGTTGTGTTAAGGTTTTCTTTAGATGCTCGTGACTTGTGACACCCCGGTCGGGTTGTGTTGGGTTGTACATACTGGTTATTATTGTCGTTAAGCTATATTCACCTATTCGTTTATGTGTAATAAATATTTAAGAGACGATTTGGGTTAGTTGGCTGGCCTTGTCTTCACGAGAGGCGCCATCACGACCGGGTTTGGAAATTGGGTCGTGACAGGTACCCGTCACCTCACCTATACGTCATACTCAACAGCCAAACACACAACAAATAGGGCAACAATACCTAATCCCTCAAGCTAAGGTTAACCACAACACTTACCTCGCTACCACGACCAAACTCAAAGCTCAATCACCGCCTTTCCTTTCACACTAGCCTCCGGGCCAATAGAATCTAGCAAAATTACCAATCAAACAATTCAATTTAAGCCTTAGGAACTACCCATAATAGCAAAGAATTCAATTTAGGTCATTTTTTAAAAAGTCAAAAAAAGTCAACACCCGGGCTCGCTTTGTCCAAACCCGAAATTTGGACCAAAACCTGATTACCCATTCGTCCCCGAGCCCGGATATACAATTGGTTTTGGAATCCGGCCTCAATTTGAGGTCTAAATTCCCAAATTTCGAAATTCCTAAGTTCTATCCGAAATCCCCAATTCCACAATGAAAACTCTAGATTCTAGGATGAAATCTTGTAAAAAGAAGTAAAAGACTGAAAGAAATGAGTTAAGAATCACTTACTTATGATTTGGGGAAGAAGAACTGTTTTGAAAATCGCCTCTTATGTTTTAGGGTTTGAAAAATTGAAAAATGAATGAAAAATCCCGTTTATATAGGACATCTCTGATCTATACTACGCGGTTCGCGAAATTCAGGGCGCGGTCGCAAAACCCCACGGCGGTCTGCGATATTATGGGTGCGGCCGCGAAACCTGAGCCTTACCCTACCACGGTCCGTGAAGTCCCCACCGCTGCCGCGTTCTTCTACCGCGGTCTGCGAATTTCACTCCACGGCCGCACTCCTAGGATCGGAGACCTGCAATTTTCTACAACTATTCAGCACCAGGTCTTTTCTAAGTCTAGACATCTCGTAGCCTATCCGAAACTCACCCGAGCCCTCGGGGCTCTAAACCAACCACGCACACAATATAATATGACCCTTTGGGTCATCACAGTTGAAAGGCAAAAAACCTCGAGATAAAGCTGATAAGTATTGACTTTCTTATAACAACCTTATGTAAAGTGGTGATAAGCACCTACACACCACCTTATGTTGTTACTAGCTGTTGATACTACGCATAATAACTCAAGAAGGTGATATCAAGAGTTATGATGTGTACTCGTAATAAGTTAATAACCCAATGTAATTAACATATTTTTGCATAATTATTCTTTTTAGCGTCTCAAGAATTTGACTCAAGGGAAATAAAAGAAGAAAATAGTAAAGGAGGAAAATGACACGAATGACATCAACAGAAAATCTGAGATGAAGTCACTGTCTCATTAAGAATTTGATGACCAGTTGAAAATAAGCTCCATCCCTTATTTTTGGTGTATGCATTTTGAATAAAAACATCAATAGTCGCGGTAGGAGTAAACATGATCGCCTAATCATGGACCAAACGTACACTTCACAATTAAATTAAACTTAGTACGGCCTTATCCTTTGTTTGGTTACTAATTCTGGGATATGTTATCCCAAGATTAAAAATAGTACGTGGATAACTTATACCTGCCAGATGGTGGAATACTAATCCCAGAATAAGTTATCGCAGGATTAATACAACATACCAAACAAGTGGACTGTACATGACTTTTGAGATATTTAATTTTGAGAGTTTGATGCGGATTGATCGAATTACATTGATATTATATTATATTTATGTATCAGATGTCTAAGCTAATATAGGAACCTTCGATTCCAACATAAAAGGTTTAATTAGTTCTACTACTTAGAATGGCGGAAGTAGTGTCCCGAAAAGGAATGAAAGTATAATTTCCATGTCCAACGAGGAATGGAAAGTTGTAACTCCAACTCCGACTCCAACTCCAACACCAACGAGGAATGGGAAGTTGTTATCTGAATATATATGTATTAGTTAGTTTGCACTTCTTATAAAGCTTGCAAAGATTTCTTTTTTATTTACTTAAGATGGCGGAAACAGTTGATGTCAAGGACAGAATAACAGAGTTGCCTGAGCACATCATATATCACATCATACGCCGGGTTGGCCGCTACAACCTAAAAGAGGCAGCTCGAACTTGTGTCTTGTCCAAGACATGGAATCGCCTTTGGACTTTGAGACCTGGCCTGATGTTCAATCAGTGCAGCCACAAGAGTTTCAAGTCGTTGGAGAAATTTGTCAAATTCGTCGACGATTCCCTTGAGCCTTATGTCAAGGAAAACCTAAGCATCGATTCATTCATCCTTCGGCAGCTTCGTCATCCAGAATTGGCTTCGCATTTAGATCGATGGATGAAGGTGGCAATTAAACTTAATGTCAGGGAGCTTGAAATTAACTCAAGGGCGCTCTACTATAACGTTCCTGATACTATTTATTCAGGTAAAACGCTGACTAAACTGTCGCTAAGGAGGTGCAATTTTGAAATTGATAATAGCACCAACAAATTGCAAAGATTAATTAGTACATGCCCTTTCATCAGGGATCTAAAATTAGATTGCTGCAGGGGAATACGAAATCTGCATGTTTTTGGCCTAGTAAATCTAGAAAAATTAGAGCTATCGGAGTGTGAAGGACTCGAAAAAGTGCAAATCCAGGCTCCAAATCTTGGAAAATTTGTATATGTAGGAATGCCTTTGTACAAGCAACAGAAGAAACGTGAAGTGGAACTGCTGCCTTGCAAAATTGATATTTTAGATGGTTATAAGACACTCGAAATTCTGAGCTTGGAAGCTAGCACCATGACGGATCAACAGTTTGAACATCAATGCTCTAAGTTGTCATCCCTTAAGGAATTGGAATTAAGGAGATGTTATACAATGAAAAATATAGTGATTGCGAGTGAAAAGCTCAAGAAATTTAGTTTATTACATTGGATGAAATTGGAGCAAGTCAAAATGCTGACTCCAAATCTGATGGAATTCAATTTTGTGGGTTGCAACATGCCATTCTCAACTATGAATCCTTATAGCCTGGAAGAGGCCGATCTTGATTTTCAACTGCCAACTCTATCTAAATCTTACTTTGGAGATGTAGATACATTTTGGTACAATAATCTTGAGGATTTCGTTAAGAAATTCAACTATTCTAAGGGTCTCATATTAGTTATCCATTGTGAGAAGGTACTTTTTTCTTTCTGTTGGAATATATTTTTCACCACTATTGTTACATCATATATAATATCTCTTTTGTCCTTCTGCAGAATAAAAGCATCCTTATTTATGAAGATGCACGAGAAATTCTGGTTCCGCCAACTCGAGAACTCCAACTACTTATTATTCCTATGAAAACTCCGACACATCTTGAATTGTTCGTGGATGATCTAATGTCCTGGGATCCCAACATAATATCTATAGTACCATGTACTGACAGCAAAATACTCCAGGTATAGCCGAGCATCTAGAACATGTTATATTTCATAATCCATGAGTTTATTCAATATATCTAAAAAAAATATATATTTTGGTTTGGAATAATTACAGGCGTTGCAGCAGAATGTAACAGGAAACGTAGAGACGGATAATGGTGAACCTAAAAAAGTCAGAATTTTTTAAGGGCGTTGCTACTGACGAAGAGACGTCCAATTTGTATACTTGGCTGAAATCCACGTCCCTAATTGAGAAAATTACCACTTTTATGTTCGAATAATACGAAAATGCATCGCCCTGTTAGATCTCTAATTATCTTTCTTTTACATAGTAAAACTTAGGTAACATGCGTTCGAATTTTTTTTTTTTCACTCTGCTCTGAACTTCTGTGTTACATATGAAATAAACCTCGTTCTCTTGAAACTAATCAAATTTACCTTTCTATACGCTTAGTGCAATTTCGTGCTTGAAGTCGGTGAAAATAATCAAATTTTTTTTTTGCTGTTCTTTGAACAACTTTTTCATTTCGAAATACTCATATAGAATTCTAATTTCATACCCAATCATATTACTTATTAGGTAATTATATGTAAATCTCTTGAAAACAGAGTTAGTAATCCGATAAAAATGATACTAACCTATTATAACATGTTAAAATTCACTAATGGTGGGAAAAATAATTATAATATCCATGTGTATAACTTAAATTAAACCCTATGTTTGAATAATCTGTGTACCACGAAAGGAAAAGAACAGATTGGTTAATCATTCTATCGATTAAAGACTTAATCTTTGCTTTTGTTGTAAATGTTCCCACTCAAATTATAAGTACAATGTTCTACCGCAACGTCTTCACATGCTCAGATCATGGTCTTGATGATGTGGATTCATTTTGTTGATTGTCACGTACCAAATTATTTCCTAGACGTGATTGACATCTAACTAACACCACCCCCTGGCGAACCAAACTTTCTTACCTTAATCATTGATTTACAGTATTTGATCAATCATAAGAGTATCCAAATAATCTCGAAATATTATATTGAAATTCTTGCCCAAATCCCACACTAAACTATAGAGCATCTAAGAGAATTGCAACAGACATCATATGAACAAATAATAAAGAATCTTTTGGCAGCCTCTACAAACAATGCGGCGGCTCACCTCCATATCAACTCTAGGGAACTCGTCAGCTACTAGGTTCGTCTTCACCAATAGTATCTACATAGACATGCAGCTAAGGAGTGAATTATACGTAAATATAACTCAGTAAGATCCTCGACCCGCCACTCTGAATACCTCTGGAACAAGTCTTAGGAACTACAAACACACAACCAGCACATAAATAAATGCACAGAAATCTTTCACCAAATAATTACTCTGTAAGGTCCAAACAATTATTAAGTAACAACAATATATATATCTCAACACAATCTACACTGCAGACTTGTCATTAACGGCAAATTACCCAAACACCTGGAAGACTCCACGCCAGCATACACAATGCTCCAAATCTATCTTGGTGGCATACACAATGCTCCAAATCTATCTCGCCGGCATACACAATGCCTCAAATATATCTTGGCGGCGTACACAATGCCTCAAATATATTACGTCAGCATACACAATGCCCCAAATATATTACAGCGGCATACACAATGCCCCAAATCTATCACGGGCCCCGGATATATCACAGTGGTATACACAATGCCTCAAATCTATCACGGCGACATACACAATGCACCAAATATATCACGGCGGTATACACAATGCCCTAAATATATTACGGCGGTATACACAATGCCCCAAATCTATCACGATGGCATACACAATGCCCCAAATATATTACGGAGGCATACACAATGCCCCAAATCTATCACGGCGGCATACACAATGCCCCAAATATATCACGACATAAAAAAAATAATTTCTAACGTCATAGCACGAGGCTACGCCACATCACACTATACCACAAATCACTTATTAAATAATTTCAGCTTTTTTACAAAATAATATATATTTGCGGCAGGTCAATGACCACCGATTCTTCCAAGCGCACGCTTGTCCCAACTCATGGACCGGGCCAAAAATAACATACTTTCAAAACGGGTTTTGGAAAAGCAAACATCAAAGCTTAAAGTCTCACTTACCTCGCTAACGAGAAGTTCCCCAACTCGCCTAGGGGGATCCAGCTCATAGTTCCGGGTAGAAGTAATATTCGCTCAGGTTTTTTAATTCTTTTCACCTAGAGGGATTCAACACTTTATCAATAATACAGGGCACCAAACCCTGGTTATATTTCCTTTTCAGTAATACAGGGTGCCAACCCGTGGTTACATTTCCTTTAAGTAACATAGGATATTATGCTCTAATTCCATTCCTTTGGTAACAGAGGGTATTACCCCCGTGGTTGCATATCCTCATATAGCTAATTTGTACTACTATCGATATCTTTCTTTCAATAAGTTAGATAGTTCATAGCTTTCTTTAGTAACTCACAAAATTTTTCTAGTGCCAAACTGGGGCAAAAAATTTTGTTCGTTTTGTTCGTCTTTGATTGCTTTACAGGCCCCAGCCGTAGAGCACAGATTGCGACGACTTAAAGCTAGCAATTCCAATTACCGTCACAAGAAAGAAGTTTTTCAATCACCAGATAGTTGGAGTTAGCTTTGATAATTTGTCAGCAACTCGGAATCTCAAGATTCATCTTCTCAATTTCGGATCAGGAAAGTAAGCAACTGAGATTGAGTCATAATCTATTTTTCAAAGAGCATCAAGATCCAATCTAAGATCAAAACAAGCGAGCAAGTCAAGGATCAAGATTTGACTCCATAAGACACATAGATAGGGATTTTGTAATCTTAGTTTGCAAAAATATGTAGTTCTCTTATCTTTTACTTTTGATGTAAGTAGCAAGTAACGATAACAGCAGCACCAGCAACAACACTTTTAAATCTAGTGTCTGGTAGTCCCAGCTACAAAAAATTTTCAGAAATACACTGACCTGATTCCTTTATAGCCAAGGATATATAGGCAACCTCAGAAGCAAGGTTCAGTCACGTTTTTCAAAATGCTTTCATTAGAGTGTTACACGAGCAAAATTAGCTATGACATTCACTTTCTTTGCACGAAAACTCTTCATGTTCTCGAGCAAAGAAGGGCAGCTGTAAATACCTAATTTTTGCTCTTTCTTTTCTTCTGCATTACACCTTTTTACATTAAAGCACAAATTGGCCCAAAACATGGACCAATTCGTTGGCCCAAGAGTATTGGATCCACCCAGCTCGAGACCCCAACCAGACGCAACAAAACGACGTCGTTTTGGTTAAGTGGCTGAGATTCAATCTCAACCACTCATCTTGGCTTGATCCAACGGTCACCATTTAATCTTCATCCTAGGTATTTAAGACCTAGAGAGACCAAATTTTGCCCCCATTTTTCCAATTCTTTCTTTCCCCTCCCTCTCTCTCAACTCTTCTTTGCTCTCCTCTCTCTCCGCCACCCCCACGGTGGCTTTGCCGGCCGGAAATCGCCACCGCCGGCGGACCACCTCCAAACCACCCCAAAATTTCACCCTTTCTTCCTCTCAACCTCCTCTCCATGAACCCAAACCCCAAATCTTTTAAATGCATCTCAATCCCCATAAATCTAGGCCAAATTCGAAACCCTAGCCACCCAATTTTTCCTCTTTTTTTCTCAAATTAGTGACAAATCCGACCACCCCACCACACAAACTTCACATAAATATGTAGATCTCTAGGAGTACCCCAAAAAACCACACCGCCGCCGGCCAAGCACCTCTACTGCTGCGACCACCACTGACCTCCGTCACTGTCGTTCTGCGGCCTCCCGTTGCTCTCTTCACACTAACCTAAAGCAAGGTTTTGCTGTCGATTTTCATCGAAACTAGCCTCCAATTATCCGGAGTCATGGTTTCGATGAAAATCAACAATAGAAGCTTGCTCGAAGTCGTACCACTGTCCCACCGTGTCTCGCTGCCCAATCGTCACTACGCCACCACTGTTCGAACACTCAAATCTGGTAAAACTCGAACCTTAATGCTTTCCTCTATGTTTTGAATTTTCTATTTTTTGTCGTTTTATCGTAGTTTTTTTTGTAATGTAAATGTTGTTAGCGATCGTTTTGGTTAACTCTCAATCTAATTTTTGATTTTTCGTTTCTGTTTTAACTTAATTGATTATTCTAGTTTACCTCACAATTGGTAGGTTTTTTTCTTTGCGTTAGTCGTTTGAGTCTTGGTTTCATGTGTAGCATTTCTGATATTGTTTTTGTTTAAGGTTGTGAGTTTCTTTAATGTCTTCACTAATCAATGCATCATTTGGTTAATCTTAGTCATTAGGTTCTGAGTTTCTCTTAGTTGATTATTAGTTCAGTTGTTGAGTCTAGTTACGTGGTCTTTCTATCTTGGTTTGATTCGAATCACATGGTTGGTATTGATTTTTGTTAAAAGCTGAAGAGTAGATGAGTATTCATGTAGTAGGCTACATTAGCAACTTGTTTTTAGTGTTAGGGTGGCTGAAATACTTTCTTTTCCCAAGCTTCTGCCACAGTTGTTGAAGGACTGTCCAAAGACAGTCCTTGAACAGACTTTTAGCACACAAAAGTATGTCTTTTGGGCAGGTATTTGGTAGCAAAAGTTAGTCCTTTTGGACAGACTTTTGGTAAACCAAAATTTGTCCAAAATGTGCTTTTATTTCCTACTTAAAAGCTCATTTGGACCGACACTAAAAGAAGGAAAAAAGAACACTCTGAATATCTTTCACACTCAAGAAAGAAGACAAAACTAGAGAGTTTTTAGTGAATTTTCGTAGAGCAAAGAATCTTACTAAAATATGAAATTTTGGAGTCGTTTTTTTGGTTTCTTTCTCCATCAGAAGTTTTTGAGTTTCTGGGTTTGATTACTTCTGTGTTTTTTTACTGTTTTTACTGTTGTTGCTGTTTCATTTGGCTGGAGTTTGGCTTGCTGGTTCCCTGTTCTGCTGTTTTTTTTCTTCTATTTTCTGCAAACTAGGTATTTTTTTCCAACTCTATAGTTTAGTTCTCAGTTGTATAAAGTTATGGCAGCGTTGTATTGATGTGTTATAACTGTCTTCTTTACATTTGGGTTGATCTTTTGCTCATAAATGGATGAATGAATGCTCAACTTCATGAATATGTTCTCTGTTTCTCTTTTAAGCTTCAGCTCTCCTAAACTCAAAAGTTTGTGCATGATTGTTTTAGTTACTAGAAGCTATGGTAACAGATTTATGGCATAGTTTAGTTGAGGAGCAAGTAAATGTAAGACACATTTGAAATCCTCTGATAGTTGATAGCTTAGACAAATGTTAAGAGTTTATGTCGATGATGTGTGTATGGTAGAGTTTAAGCTTAAGAGTAGTTGCATTAAATTCTTTGGTCCAAGTTTCCTCTTTTTGTGACTATGAATTTGTACTAGTTAGTGATTTTTCTTTAAGTTTGACATAAACTTTGTTCCCCTACATTTTCAGTTGCACTGGCTGAGTTTTGTGCAAATAAGTTCCAATACATGTTAAAGTGTTTAAGTAGATAACACAATTTTTTTATTTTTTTATTTGTTCTTTAGTTCAAATATAAGAATGGATATCTAGAAGTTCCTCCTTAGTTTTAATATCTTTAAAGGTTGTTAAAAACATGTTTTAGCTTGAAAAATTGCGTATCAATGTTGAGTTAGTATTCATGTTAGAGTGAATTTGGTAGTGAAATTAAGTTTGTTTAAAACAAATGCTCTTCTATATATATTTTAAGGAATTCCGGTTGGATAGTAAGCTATCAAATTAAGTTTTTTACATGTAACTTCTAAATGTTTATATGGTAAACTAAAAAAGTATCTTTCCTTTTTGTCTTAATTTGTCTTAGTAAAAAAAAACAAGTGTTTAAGTTTAGAATGATAAGGTTTTGGATTGTTAGCAGTATGGGTTTTAGGGTTTGGTTCAAGAAATCATTTTCGGGCTAAATAATTTCTAGCAGCCCAACACCAATAAAATCCAGCAGCTGATCCATTTATTTTAGTTAATAACATAGCTGACCCATTCTTTTTTAAGTCAAGGGCTGGCCCGATGGCCAAAGTGGCCCAAAACGTGCCAGCAGTTCAAATACCCAAATAGCTGGCCCATTCCCTTTTATATTGGGAATTTTTACATTCCTATCCCACTTAGGAAACCTTTTTACCCTACATATTTAAGGTTTGAGTAAATTACATTTAGTATACCAAATTACCATTTCTATGCCATATCTAATTAAAGTTATAATTAATGTGATATTTTCTACTCCTTAATTAAAGCATTTCCGTTTTTTTCAGCACTAATCCCTCACTTTCTCTCTCCTAACTCCCCCCACCCCACGTTTTACCTTTACCCTTCACTCCTCCACGTTTAGCGTCTGTTTTCTTCTTTACAGAACAAAAGCTACCCACGTTCTTCATTATTCTCCATTTAAATTCACCAAATATTGAAGTTATCATTCCACAAAATTCGTTCCCATCTTTAGTCAAGTTGAAGTTAAACCATGAAGAACATCAAATCTCCCAAAAAAATACCTCAAAAATCTACAGTAGGTGATATCCCATCTTTCGATTTGGGTGTTTTAACACCAAAATCACCACAAAAACAAGTAAAATCTACACATGCAATGGAACCCACTACTCACAGTTCATCTCCTAGACAAATCCGTGCCGAGATGAGAAAGCAAATGCACGATGTAGATGCTGGAGGAAGTGCTACACCAGGCGGCAAACAACTGTCTTAATTTTGTAGATTATTTGTAGTTGTGATTTTCTTTATTTTATAATTGTAGTTATTTTGTAGTCGTTTTGTAGTTATATTGTCGTTAACTTTTAAATTTTGAACAGAGCTGTAGTTACTTTTTTCTTCTTGCATTTTTGTAGATAATGTTTATATCTGTAGATGTCTTGTAGTGTTTTGTAGTTATATGTGTGGGTAGGTTGTATTTTTTTGAAGCAGATTTGCATGTATTTTTTCTTCCTAATTTGTTTTTAGCTATTTGTGTAGTGATTGTGTAGTTATATGTAGATAATATGTAGATTAATGCTTCATTTTTATGCAGTTTACTAATGTGAAATAATTTATCATTTTGTGCAGAATGGATATTATTTTGCCCCACATAATGTGGATTATGGGGTGCTTAGATTCCACACTTTGTGTGATCCTACCCCAGAGTTTAGGGATCCAGACGAACCTGCATCAAAATAAAGATAAACAGTGTTATAATTTTGTAGAATCTTTGTAGATAATTTGTAGATATAGTGAAAATTTTGTAGTCATCCATTTTAGGATGTCAGACATTGTAGTTAAATTATACTATAACTGTTGCAATTTGTAGAATCTTTGTAGATAATTTATTTAAAGACAAATTTTGAAATCAACAATTTCTAATCATAGATTGTAGTTTATTTTGTCGTATAAATGTAGTAACTTTGTAGATAATTTTGAAAACAAAATTGCTTTATTCTTTCATTAAACTGATTTATAGTTTAATTGTAGGCAAATGTAGTAATTTTGTAGATAATACCGTAAAACTATAATTCTATGCAATTTCGAACTATACAATCCTGCACTTGTGTTATCGTTAGTGATTGCCAATTCCATATTGAAATCTCGTACACTTATACA